TTTGGACTCTGGGCTTTTATATAGATAGGTTTTTATTGATCTCAGAGAGGAAGGGACGCAACCGCGTGAGGCGCTCAGTCCCAGGGCCGTATAGAAGGTCCCTGGGAGAGAGACACCTTCAGATGTGCAGCCAAATCAGCACGCAGAGGACAATTCAAAGCTTTTGTCCAATTACATGGAACGCTGAGCCCTTCCGGGTGGGCTGGGTGTCCCTGAGGGACGGGCCTCGCCTCTGAGGCACAGGCGGCATGCACGCACAGCACTTCTTATATTTAAAAAAATGAGGACCCTCTCTTGTCCCTATTCTCCCCCTTTCGGGAGGGAGGGGTCTCTGTGACTACTTCCCGCCCAACATGGCGCTGGAACAGAAACACAGGCAACGGCTGAAGTCCGAGGATTGAGAGGCTCGGAGGTGACTGTCCGGCCCCAGGACGGGGGACCCCGAGGGCTCTCACTGGCGTTAGGGACGCTCACCCACTCTCGCTGGCGGGGTCCCCGAGGGCTGGGGTGTGGAAGAGGCAGGGGGGACCCTGCTCTGCTGTCTTTTGGGGGGAAGGCAGGGGGCGCTGCCGCCGGAGAGCAATGCGGATTCGTGAAAAGTGAGAGACAGGAAGTCAGAGAAAGCCCGGCAGGCGCGGCTCCGTGGTTGAGCATCGACCTCTGAACCGGGAGGCCAGGGTTCGATTCCCAGTCAGGACACATTGTGGGCTCGATCCCCAGTCGGGGGCGTGCAGGAGGCAGCGGATCCGTGATTCTCTCTCATCATGGATGTTTCTCTCTCTCTCACCCTCTCCCTTCCTCTCTGAAATCAATAAAAAAAATATTTAAAAAAATGAAAGAATCTCTCCTCCACTGCTTATCTTCATGGGGGTTTCTTTTTAAATATATATATATATATATTTTAATTGGCAGCGGATCCGTGATTCTCTCTCATCATGGATGTTTCTCTCTCTCTCACCCTCTCCCTTCCTCTCTGAGATCAATATATATATTATATATTAGTTATATGTTATACTAGAGGCCCAGTGCACAAAATTCGTGCAAGGGGCTTGGCCATCGTGGCCCCGGCTTCGTCCGGAAGGTCGTCCAGGAGGATGTCTGGAAGGTGGTTTGACTGTCCGGTCTAAGTAGCATATTATGCTTTGATTATTATAGATATTCTGTCTATATATATAAAAGCCTAAGTGACCGGTCGACCAGTCGCTATGACGCGCACTGACCACCAGGGGGCAGATGCTCGACGCAGGAGCTGCCCCCTGGTAGTCAGTGCGCTCCCACAGCCAACCTCCTGGGTTCCCTCCCTGCGGCCGGCCAGCCCCGATCGGGACTGGGCGACACAGCCCCCATCGGCCCCGATTGCCGGCCAGGCCAAGGGACCCCACCCCACTGGGCCTCTAGTGTATACATAATAAATCAATAATATAAATAAATAAAGTTAAGAGCCGAGTCGTCGGCGCGTGGCGTGGACAGGTAACGCCTGTCGCTGCTGGGTGAGTTGGTGGCACTTGGGGACGTGGCCGCATAGAATGTCCCTGGGAGAGCGACACCTTCAGACGTGCAGCCAAATCAGCACGCAGAGGACAATTCAAAGCTTTTGTCCAATTACATGGAACGCCGAGCCCTTCCGGCTGGGCTGGGTGTCCCTGAGGGACGGGCCTTGCGTCTGCCCATGGACCAGCCAGAGTGACACGTCGGCGAGCTCTCGAGGGGACGCGGTGTCCGGGGAGAGGAGGCGCGAACGGGGACCCTCACCTGTTCCGTCTTCGCGTGGCGTTTGCTCGATAGGGGATCTGTGAGACCGACGTACCCACGGGACAGACGACTTACACGTCTCTGGGTCCAATTCTATACACACATTGGAGGAATCTAATGTCTATTCCGGATGGAGCCGCGGGGTCGCGGACTTACCTGTGTCATGGCGGACGCCTCCGCCGCTGGCCAGGTGGTATCATTGTGGGCACAGGCCTCCGGGACCCACCGCACGTGGTAGCGACTGGCGCCGGGGTCTGCAATGGAGAACAGTCCGGGGTCACATCCCACCCAGTCCCGGGTCCCCAAGATGTGACCGAACAGGAAGGAAGGAACTAAAATTACACAGGTGACCCCCAAATGCATGCCTGAAGCCAAGGGGGGCCCACGGGTAGTTCAGATCCCGACTATTATCCCGGGATATAGTGGTTGAGCGTCGACCTAGGAGCCAGGAGGTCCCGGGTTCGATTCCTAGTCAAGGGCACATGTCTGGGTTGCGGGCTCAATCCCCAGTAGGGGGCATGTAGGAGGCGGCCGATCCTTGATTCTCTCTCATCATGGATGTTTCTCTCTCTCTCTCTCTCTCTCCCTTCCTCTCTGAAATTGTCTGATGGGATCGGGTGCCTGACTGGGACCTGGGAGTTTGCTCTGAGCATTTTGGGAGGAAAAAAAAGAACTCACATAAGAGAACGAGAGGGACAGCAGGCGGGCCCTGCGGTGCCGGGTTCGAGGGGACCCACCGAGGGGGCCTTTGCTCTGTGCTGGTTGTATTTTCCTTTGGATTCTTTTCGAGAGAGTGGGAGGGAGGGGGAGAGGCAGAGAGAGAAACGTCGACGAGAGAGACCAGAGCCGGGGATCGAGCCTGCAACCCAGGAGCGTGCCCCTTGGCCAGAATCGAACCCGGGACCGACTTCGGTCCGCAGGCCGACGCTCCATGCACTGAGCCACACATCCAGGCTGGTCTGCTGGTTATTGTTTTTTTAAGAGAATTGTGGGGTTTTTTAAACAGAATTATGGTTTGTTAAAAAATATATTTTGTATTGATTTTTTACAGAGAGGAAGGGAGGGGGATAGAGAGTTAGAAACATCCATGAGAGAGAAACATCGATCAGCTGCCTCCTGCACACTCCCTACTGGGGATGTGCCCGCAACCA